AGCCAACATTGTGGCAATGGGTCGACAGCAGCGTCAGTCACGGCCACTGAAGGCGCCCCACCGTCGTCACTGATGGTGCCCTACCACCATCTAGCACATAGAGATGCACTCAAGCTCGCGACCCCATTAGTGAGATTGCCCTCGTGCATGAGAGAGAGGTGTTCCAAAGGCGACCCAACGGCCGGGCGTTGGACAAATAGTCTTTTAAATCTTTATTAATTGCCATTTCTTAGGATATGGGGCACGTTTGGGAATCATTTTTCCAAGGGGCTTTGAGCTCTAAAGCTCTTTAGGCAAATTCAAGTAACGTTTGGCAAATTTTTTAATAGCTTTGGATAGATGGAATTACATTTCCAAATACTTCTAACCCAAGATAGGTCCAGAGGTGCTTTGGGCTTTGAGCAAAATCTTCACAAAAAGGATAAAACTCTTCGTTAGGATCCAAGGCATAATGCAATTGCTCTTTCAATCTATCGTGTCGAAATGAAAACCCTAATCGTATGTTAGGACCTTTTTCGCTCTGACACCATATTGACATGGTTGTATCCCTGCTGAAATGTCCTCCCAAAGCCACTACCATGAAGCTCTTGTATAATCTATTCGCGTAAAGAACCTTATGGATACATAACTGATCACCTTTGCACTACTTACTTCCTGCAACTTAGCTATATTGTGGCTGAAATAAGGATCAGCCTGATACTGATTTTCGCCCTAGATTTAGAATGGTGGTGGAATGAAAGTGGAAGTTGCAGATTACCGTGGACAGATGCATGCCAAATTTTATTTAAAATGGGAAGCTAGTGCGGAAACTTCACTTTGAGTGAAAAATGATGGCAAAACCGCGGAAGGTGCCGTTTGTGAAGCTTAAATTGGAAGGCATTGCATTTCTACGTGATGGGTTTTGTGATCATTGGGCCGCCCATGTTGGGCCAAACCCAGCCCATTAATCTTGAAAGAGCCCATGAGAGAGAAATAACCGCCGAGGCAGTTATTTGTGAGGTAGTTATTTGTGAGGCAGACATGTTACGTACATTCTGTCAATTGTAGTGTGTTCATTCTAAGAGAAAATAAGAAACTCTCTCACTCAAAAAGGAAAAAGGGCTCTCGCTCGACAATCGAAGAATCGTACTCTCTCGGTGTTACAATTGGAGCATTTAATCCGTGAAAAACAAGGTACGTCCTTCTTGGTGATATACTTTAGACGATCGGTGATTCAAGTTTTTCGACTAGGCACGTTTCCGGATATGTTTTCGGTGTTATTCGATAGTTCGAGTTTCCGTTTTAGAATGTGTTTTCGAGATTGTGTTTCTCAACATTGGTATCAGAGCATGTGTTCTTGTTTTCTGATTGTTTAATATGCTTATTACACGGATTGATGGCCGGAATTCGTGAAACAGTGCCAACGAACGCTCGGTTATGAAAACCAACACCCGACCGTACTGTTCGGGATCGTTTCTCGAAATTTCGTGTGATAAATTTTATTTTTGATGGAATAGGATCGTAGTGCTCGTCGAGACGAGCAAAATGACGGGTGGCACCCCGCCGGGGGAGGCCGGACGCGCCTCCACGCGCCGCCGCAAGCGGCGGCTACGCCGGCACGTGCGTCACACGTGCGCAGCGGTTACCGCCGCGCACATGCGCCGCACGCGCCATGCATGCACGTGTGGGCGTGGTTGACGTCACACTGACGTCAGCCACGCTGGTTATATTTTTTGGGCCGAAAGGCTCGGCCCGGCCCGGCCCGGTAGGCCGGATATGATCGATTTGGTCCGATCCGACCCGGTTGCTGACTCGTGACCCGACCCTGCTGACCCGTTGACCTGACCCGGTCATTTGTTGATCGTTGACCGGCATTGAATACCGTTGACCACCGTTGACCAGCGTTGACCACCGAAAAAAAAAAAAGGTGCTGAAAGGGGGCAGAATGTGTTTATTGCAATATTGTATCATGGATTAAAAAGTAACCCTTTGAGTTTTTTCTGCATTTGTTGCAGGAACGATGGTACGAAGATGTCAAACCCCCATTATGGCTAGGACGCCTGAGCAGAAGGCAAAACTTGCAGAGTTGAGAGCTGAATTAGATAACTATCAATGGGAAAATGGCAATCTGGAGGATCACATGGTCAAGGTCAATGAGATGATACAGAAAATCATTTGGAACGGTTATTGTATGCCGGACTTTGAGAAGATGAATGTTTTGATCAACACTCTTCCATCTGAATGGAAAAAGGTGTTGCATCAACTATGGAAGGTCAACGTGGTCCCAACCTACAAAAAACTTGCAATGGATTTTGTGAGAGAATATTATAGGATTGAGGCAACAAAGATTTCGACCCTAGGGATGAATACAACTTGGCGAAGAATGAATGCGCCATGGAGAAAGCCTAAAGGATACCCGACAATCTTTTCTTGGTTGCCAAAGAAGAAGATTGATTTTTCTAAGAACTTTGATGAATCTTTCCTTGTGTATAGGAAATTGATAAGCCATTGATTTTATTTTATTTTAGTTCGGTTTTAGATATCCTAGGTGGATAGTACTGTTCATGTTAGTGTTCATGTTTCTTTTCTATGCTAGATTCGTTCCTTATGTAAATAGTTCTTAGTGAATGAATGTTGATGGATATTTTTATTGTGAATAGTTTATGGTACTATTCTATCGTAACTCTTGTCTCAAGAACAAGAGCTGATTATTTCAACATAATCAGGAGGTAGAGAAAATTGTCTGATCTGTTGATGATGATGGCTATGGGACAGTCAACTTTGGATTTGAATGGGAACGTAGCTGATTAAATTTAGTTCATGGAGTTGATTAAAATTGTCTGATTTGTTCTTCTCTACTCGTTTCTGGGGTTCTTTAACCACTCCTCATTTCCTCAGTTCGTCTATTTCAATTCCTCTTCGTTGTTGTACGATTCAGCATATGGCAACGTATCCTACCGAAGCTACGTAATCTAAAAATGCACGTATGTGGGTGTTAAACAAACCGAAAGGCTTTCCATAGTTCCATTTTGATTTGAGGACAGTTTTCATATTTCTAGTATCGTCCCAGCGAGCTCGGAGTTACAAAAAAGATGAAAACTGAAAAGCCCCAGAAGCAAAAGTTCTTGTTCTTTCAAAACTTTCACAGTTATTGTTGCTGTTATTTATAGGATCTTGATGTAAATTGTGAACAAACTTTCGAAACAAAGCTCCAAACAAATCGCTAGCATGAAATCAGCTCAATCGGTTTGACTCGTTCATCCAATTTTATTCGATCGATTCACGGCCGTCCAACTGCAAATCATTTCAGTCCATAAGGTCGTGACTAATGCTGTATATGCAGTCAAACAAAAAGCCATTGCCCTTTGGATTAAATGCCTAGGCACTGGTTAAGCAACTAAGGAATCAAATTGCACAGACAAATACGTTGACTCTACTTGCCACTTTTTGTGTGTTAATCCTAATCAAAATTCTGAAAATTAAGTTATTTTACGCTAAGTATGTTTAAGAAGTGACTTGACTCGTTAACATGGCCGGCATTATATATGGCTTTAGTACTAAAAAGTAAACAACAAGCTCATTAAGTATGTTTAAGAAGTGACTTGACTCGTTAACATGGCCAGCATTATATACGGCTTTAGTACTAAAAAGTAAACAACAAGCCCATTAGACTACGAGAATACCTTACGAGTAGCTTTTAACTACTAAAATTCCATTAGTGTAGTCTAGTTCATGATAGGAGAATATTTGGGAGTGACCCCAAAGAAATTGCTCCGATTGAAACTCAAATGCATGTCCGATGACCACAATTTGGAGTAGCAGAGTCAAAGAAGTAACCAATTAGATGACCCTTCGAAGTTTTTCATTCAAACCAAATGAGTACAAATTCTGGGAGTGGCTATTTTCACCCTTCCACTGTAGCCAAACGCCAAAGAAAATTCGGTTTCAAGTACCGAAAATGTATGGCTGTGCCTCTTTTGCTTTATATATTCATGCATAAATAAATCAAGTTTGAAAATTATACGACTGAAGTGATTGCAAAATGCCAATATATAAATTTTTCAGCATAACCAAATCAAGGAGATGATTGTAGGCTGATGAACACTTCTATTTTGTGTTCAAAATTCTTCCAAATGAGAAACTTTTGTCGTATTGAAAACCTTTTCGTTGGGATTCTTGGCTGCAATTGACATATTATGTGCTGAGTCCATAACATTTGCTTTTTCCATGAAAAAAGCCTCTTTCGGTCACAATATTGTGGCTTGAAGTAGACATCTAAACGGTAATCTTGTTAACAAATTTGATTTTATGCTTAACTTCACATACAGAACCACCTGCACATGCGGCTTCTGCAAGCATTTTGAGATTCGGCCAAGCCAAAGAATAGCACGATTCAAAGCTTGCAAACGACAACTACACACCCTGAGAAGAGGTCGTTTAATGTCAATGATCCTATGGAGAGGGTTAACAATACGCAGCACATGATAAAAGACAATATTGAAGTAACTTTGGAACACCATGACATGGCTCATGCCAGCCCGCATCTCCATCCTGTGGTGTTTGGAGACTTTCTCCTGAATTTCAAGAAATGCAGCTTGAATCTACACAAGAAGGATGGGATTAACTAATTGTCAACAATTGAAGAAATTTGAGACTGTAGCATCACAATTTACCCCATGAAAGATAAGGTACAAATGCATAAACATTATTTGCACCAATCGCAGTTGGACCGCAATGAACAGAGACTTTGTTAGCTGGCCGAGGAAAAAGGAAACAACAGGCTTCGGAGAAGTAAGCAATTAGCAAAACTTTCCTTGTTTGTGTTTAGGAACAGAATTTTTGTTAATAAGATTATGCTGAAAGGGTGAAGTGCCTCAAAAGATGTAATTGTTGACTTGGTTATTTCGCAGTACCCAATTAGCAAAATCAGTAATACGCAAAAGTTTGCCAGGAGGTGAATTTTGATTTCACAAACTCAACATCGCATGCATGAGAACCATGCTTATTAAATCAGAAACATATATGACAACATTCAAAGGATATTATCACACTAATAAACTTATAGAAAATCAAGGAGATTGTCATCATGCATCCTTGTATACTGATTTTCAGGTGAAATGTGCAGCTCCTATAGTATAAGCACACGAGTTAGTCTTTCATAGTTACGGTACGACTGGTAGTGCATGCCTCCGTCTGCAGAGCCTCATCGAGATCGGGAGTGATATCATTAGAAAGCAACTGCATCAAACAACTCTGCATCAAGGTAACATATAGAAAAATCAGCAAGTAGGCATTAGATTAATTAGAGATGTAAAACCTAATGAGCATACAAAAAGCAGATTCAATCTAGAAAACTACACTCACAAGCATTTAGGAATGTACTGTTGAGACTTGATCAGATGTTTGGATGTTCACAAGCATCAAAACTTCCTCAGTACAATCCAGTTGGCCCACGAGCCTCTTCATGGTTGGCACGCAAGATGGTCGTCAGCTGTTGCTGATTCTTCCTCTGCAAAATCCCTCTTCATTTTGATTGGGCTCTGGTATGAAACTTGAAGTTCCTCTGCCAAGTTAGCCAGACCCAGATCAATGATGTGAGAAAACGATTCCATGACAACAATAGGATCAAATGGGATGCAAACTAATTAGCAAATTCTTGAGCTCCTCACCCCAGCTTGTTTCACAGAACGGGCAAAATATTGTCCCAATTATGTACAAGATTATCGATACAACTCATTGAATCGAAGTCCAATAGTAAGCCTCAGTCATTACATAGACTAACCAGACCCATCACAAAAGCAACACCAGTTTGCCTTTGCATGATAATCTTTCAAAACAACAGCTTTGAGCTGGTCTACAATTATATATGACAGACTAGTCAGAACTACTTTTCATTTTTTTTAATCACCAACCAGAAAGACTTGAAACTTGACTTTTATTTTAGCTCAGTTTCTCATACTTACTGGGAATTCATGCTCTGTCATGTAAGATTCAAGAGGAACATCAAGGGAACCATAAGAAACTTGACCGGGTTTTTGATCACCAGAGAAAATTGAAAGGTGTTTGTTCTGAACAAGATATCTGTCACTAGCCAAATTTGACACACAAAAATACTCACAAAGGAACTCAAAATGGCCCAGGATTTTTTAACAAAAAATATGAATTTTGGACATAGGAAAAATGGACTTTGGGAGCAGTTTATAATATTTATTAGAAGATCATCGGCCTCTAGATGAAAGATTCAAATCCCGGGTTTATCGAGAGGGAAACTGTAAATCACTAGGGAATTCTTGTTTACCTATCTTTAATATTTTCATCCTTGCCTCACTAGCCGCTAATCTTTGCAGTCTACAAAAGCTGCCAATGGAAGGATAAATGAAAAACATTACTATAACGTAACCAACAGCGAGTAATGTAGGCAAATCAGAGTTTCCAAAATCAATCAAATAGATACTCGGTGTGGAGAAAATCATTCTTAAAAAATAGAGTTTCGAGAAAAGTATTACTCTATTCGCTCACACTAGCCATTCAAGGATGAAGAATCTTACTAGAAGACCAATGCCTTCAATTGACATTTGGGTCTACATTTTGATCTTGGCTGAAGCATCATGTCAGCATCTATGACCAACTCCCCCACTCCTTCAATTATGTAAGACTAGCAATTTAGGAAAGTACAAAACCCTGTCATGGAAATCATTCTTGTCAAAAGAAGATAGTGATGAAAAGTAGGTCATGAATCTCAGAAGAAAAATGATTGTTCACTTCTTATTTACCTCTGTTGAGGAAACATCAATCACTCTCTGTTGAGGAATCATCACTCCATGAGTCGTACGATAGCTTTCGTTCATAATTTCTAAAGACGCATGTTCCGGATAATTTCGGTATTGCTTCCAATGAGTCACAACCAGAGATATCCAAATCAATTAAATCCAACTTTTCAAGTCCCCGAAGCTGAGTAAGTTTCCTCCAGTTTCGAAGATTTAGAGATCGTAACTTCTCACATCCATTCAAATCTGGCAAAGTCTCCATTGATACCCATCCCATAACAGTCAACGCTTCTAAGAACTTCGCACCATCAAGACCTCGAATTTCAACTAGATTTTTGCACCAGGCAGCCACTAATTTCTTCAAACACCCTGATTTTGGACAGAGAAGCCTTTCAATGGAATCGCAGTAATTTATAGATATGCCCTCCAAGAGCTCCAAATTTTCAAGGCCCTGAATTTCAACTAGGTTATAGCAATGCTCAGCACATAATCGTTTCAGACGAATTAACTGTGAAAGGTCCAATCTTTCAATTGAACTGCAGCCTTTTATTGAAAACGTTTCCAAGTTCTTCAATCCGTCGAGCTTAAGCAATATCAGCTTATGACACTCCCAAACAGAGAGTTTCAAGAGTCTCGAGGGAAGCTCGGGGATGTCTTCAAGTAGATAGCATTCCAAAAGACGGAGTTTTTCTAGGTGGATTAGGCTAGAAAGCCGCGGCAGCGACCGAAGCTTGTGACAGCGACGCAGCTCAAGGCGCTGGAGAGAAGAAAGATCCCCAATAGCATTGGGAAGCTTTTCAAGCCGAGAATAACTGACGTCCAGAAATTGCAAATTCTGTAAATCCCCAATTGAGCTAGGGATTTCTCTCAGTGATTTACAACGGTAGGCGCTCAGTTTCTTCAGCTTCCTCAGAGAACCAATAGACGTAGGGATCTCTGTAATACCAGATTTATCTAATACATCTTTTAATCCGCCCACTTCCTCTGGTAGCTCCTTGAGACTTCCACAGAGACTCAAATCCAAAGAAACGAGGCTCTTGAGTTTGCCAATAGAAGGGTGGAGATGCTCCAGTCCCTCACAATGTCTCAAGGTGAGGATCTTCAACTGCGTGAAAGCCGAGAGATCGGGAGTACGTCTTAAACCCCAGCACCATGTAAGGTCGAGAACTAGTAGCCGCTTTGGCGTCTACACAAAAAAGAGGAGAATAAAGCTGTCAAAAAGAATGAGAGTGGGGGATCGGCTAAACAAAAACAAAACCCCATCTTAAATCACGGAGAGAGGGAGGATGTCTCTTTTTTTTCCCCCCCAATCTTACCATGAATGAACTCCTCCGTCCTTCCCAATCCTCTGTGAAGTTCCAACTCCCTGATAATTCCAGCACCGATAAGTTCGGTAGATGCAAACTGGTCGTCGGAAGAGACAAATCGCTTCCCTCGACGCGCCACCAAAGCCATCTTACTTCAGAAAGGAGTTCGTTGGAGTTTCCGATTGAAGCTTCCCTCAAGAAGTTATGGAACCAGCGGCTAGTTTTAAAATTGTTCATCTGAGGGCGTCTGGATATGGGCGAAGGAATTGGACGGGACAAAGAAAATGACGGAATCCTTTTCAATTCCCAGTTATACATCAAATCAATCCATGGAGTCACTCAGTTGACTTTTTTTACTTTTTTAGTTTTTCGCTTTTTTTAAATCTTGGATTCGCACGATTTGTTATCTTCTTATTACTCCCGTACATAAATACAGACATGTGATTTAGCATTTAATTTTTTAAAATAGTTATTACTTTAGAACAGCTAAGGCAAATGCATCTCAATGTTCTATCTTTTGCTCTTTTTTTTTTCAAATTATATGGCGCGTGCACTTCGAATTTTATTTAAGACGAAATACATGAAACCATTTTACAATATACAAATGTTTACTTGAAAATTTTCATATGACTTGTGTATAGTTTTTCAAAAGAATTTGTCAAAGAGTGCCAATGGGTCAACCGTAAGTAGCTAAGGAAGGACCTGGTTTTCATTTCATTAACCATTTTTGTGAAGTGTTTAATCATTTCTTTGAAAATTGAATTTTTTTTTGTAAAGTATGTTTAAAAAGTGACGTGGCAACATTGGTTAGCAATGCACTTTTTCTAGATTTTAAGCAAAGCCTGTCATATGAAAGTTTTTGAATATGTCTACTTATTTTTATTTACCAAAAAAAAACTAAAGATACATATGTCCGTTTGCATAAGAATGGCACTGTTTCTTTTTGCATCTTATAAGTCGAAACATACTCTTATAATTTCATGCTAAAACAGATCATTTAACTAGTTGAATATGGTGAAAAAAATCCCATATGGCTTTGATTGACTTTAGTAATAATACCTATATTTTCCCCCAAAAGTTGAATTAGTTAGAATTGTTTTTTTGGTTGGTTTGATTTACTTTTACTGTTTTACTCGTTTATCGTTATCTCTGCTTAAAATTGTGAAAAGCCTGCAAGGGGTATAATTTCTCTTAAGTTTGTTCGTAGTAAAAGTCACTAAATTGTTGTAAACATCACCCCACGCTATCTTTCATAATTTTCGCTTGTACATCAATCTATACGGTATATTACATTAAAAAGTCTACTATATGGAAAGGGGATTTCAAACCTCACAATTCGCATATATTTCACCAAAATGAGTTGAAGAAATAGGATATAACAAAATAGACATAATTATATTTCAAATAGTCAAGACAATTGGAAATTAGTCCCATAAGTATTTCATTTTCCAATGTTAAATCAAAATCTTTCCATCTTACAATCATTTAATTTTTTTCCAACACTAATTATCATCTTTCAACATTTTTGTCTATTCAAAACAGATTTAACTTTTTTTTCATTTTTCCAAAGACCCGTATGGTGTGCTCTTTTTGCTAATCTTAAGGAGTTATTGGATCAACAAAAGAGTGTGATATCGAATCATAGGAATGAACTATTTCAAATTATATCAAGAATAAAAAGCTGTTTCCTTTGCCCAACATCTCTTGGTTAATTGTTAGGGTTAATTCCTTGCCATTGATCAGTCATGAGCTTATGAGGCATCAAGATGGACAAATATATAATGATAAAAAGACATGAACATCGATAATTTAAGTAAACGAGAAACATAGTCGAAAAAATTCGCTTCGTGCTGAAAATCATATATAATGAATACAAAGGTATGAATATAATAATAAGCACGACATTTCCTCTAGTTAGTCAAGTTTTCTTCGTTTTTTTTTAAATAGTCAAGTTAGTCTAGCGGTTCCTAGCACAAAAGAGGCATTGTCCCAAAAAATATAAATAATATAAAACAACTTATAGTGGATAGAAATGTTTGTTATGAGAAATGAGCAAGGTGAACTTGACAAAACCTTAAAAAACAGTAAGATTTTCCTGAAAATATTTTTAAGGGGATTTTTGCTATCTTATCTATTAAGAGGAAATAAGAATGAAAAGAGATAGAAATAACTAGTAGAGCAGAGGGACGGGAATCTTCAAAATCAAAATGGAGAAAAAAATATTAAAAATTGGATTCCAAAATCACAGGAGCACCACAATACATTTGGATACTTATAATTGGCCCTAATGCATATTATTTGCCGATTCCTAAAATTTTATAGATGTAATTTATATCAATGAAATCAAATCAAATAATTTAACTCTTTCATCCTTCGGATACTTACAATTTATTTAGTTGTAATGGACATAAATGGACGTTTACACAAAATTTTTTTCCTAGAAAGTAAGAGCATCTATTCATGCTAGATGAAATATTAGAATAGATCAGATTAAATATATTAAAATAAGAGGGAGAGGAAAAGAAAGGAGTGCCATATTTTACCATTTTTTCCCGTACTACTCTTGAGGCTCCCCTGTAGTTGCAATCCAATGGCCCGCTACATTTGTCAAGTGGTTGCCCTTGACAAAAAATGCTCCTTCCTAGATCTCTCAGTTGATCATGCATCATAAACTCACCAGCATCTCCAATTTTAATTAAGCACCTCAACTTCAACTCTTCAATTCCTTGACTTGGATAAAGCCCACAGTCCTCCCACATGCACATGGCGTAATGGTTGATCGGAGGACGGCTAGTTGGACCAATAAAGAAACAAACAATATCGAGAAAAATCTGCTTATGTCCATCTTCTAATGCATCATAACTTATTTGCAATATCTTTTGGACATCTCTATGTGGTTGGTTTTGTAATTGCTTCCGCACATCTTCCCATACTTTTATATTTGTTTTTTTATACAAGTATGAACCTACAACCTGAAGTGCCAAGGGAAGCCCACCCGTGGTGGATATGATATCACCAGATATACCCTCAAAGTCCCTGGGAGAATGGTCCATACGAAATGCATGTCTGTTAAACAAAAGCAAAGCTTGCACCTTATCCAATCCATACAATTCATACTTGTAGTCTACCTCGAATTCAGATTGATCAAGAACGGCTTCATTTCTAGTGGTAACAATGATCATACTTCCTGCCATAAACCAGCTACGTTCCCTAGCCAACGAATCTAGTTGACTCTTGTCATCTATATCATCCAGAAGAATGAGAACCTTTTCTCTGAATCTAGATTTGATTATATTAATTCCATCATCAATTCTAGACACTTCCTTTTTTTCATTTAGTATATCCGATATAAGTTGACTCTGTAGATACGTAATACTGTGGCGCCTAGTAGTTTCTCGAACATCTTGAAGGAAGCTGACATGCATAAATTTATTTGAGAGTTGATTATAGATGCACTTGGCAAGAGTAGTCTTGCCTATCCCACCCATGCCATAAATTCCAATCATTCGAGCATGGATGGAAGGATTGCCTATCCAATTCATAATTTCCTTCAGACGGCCATCAAGTCCAACTAGTTGCTTAGGCAAATCTAGCTGAAAATCTTCCTGTAATTTGCTTGTAACAGTCTCGACCACACGTTCTATTAATTTTCCCTCATGCCTGTCAAACAACCAAAACAGTGAGAGATTATGAACCTAGACATAGTCTATGCGAAGTATTCAATCCTTATCAACTGAACTAACGCTTGTTGGGGATCTTTTCTGAGCTTGCAATGAAAGTAATTCATTTGCATTTCATCGGTTCTGCGTGAAGAAGAAAACTTACTTATCAAAAAAAGAAAAAGTTAAGTGAAGTACCCGTCGGCAAATTTCTCTGATTCCCATCCATTTAAGTAACTGACTTCATTAAGTGCTCGTTGCCCTTCCTGGATATCCTTCTCATCAAAACGTTTCTTACGCGAATGGAAGGCCTCCCCAAAACTTCCTTTTAGATGCCGCACATCTGATGGGTCCACTTTGTAAAAGATGGGCAAGACTATGTGTGACGTGCTCTTATTGCGGTCCATGATATGAATGAGCTCGCAGAGGCACCATTTGCTCGAAGCATAATTTTCCGAGATAATGGGGATCGAAATTTTTGATCGTGCAATGGCATCGAGAATCTCTGAACCAAATTCCTCACCAATTGGGATGCTGTTTTCGTCCCTGAACACGCAAAATGGTACAGTCCCTGCCTTGATCAGACTGTGATACAGGTGATCGGTGAATGCCTTGCGAGTATCCAAGCCTCTAAAGCTCAAGAACACGTCGTATTGACCGCTACCTATATTTGTGGGTACCGGAGAGATGAATGAAGAAGTCGATGCTCCCTCAATGCTCTCTTCCTCTGCTCTCTTTCTCTTTCCCTGACTCTTCTCTTTGTCCATGTTGATCTGAGGGGGGCAAAGTTGAAACGAAAAGATGCTTTTTTGCTGTTGCTCAAAGTGATTGATGAACAACAAAAGATGCATCCAGGATGCTATTCTGCAAATGCTTGTAGTCCTCGCCTTATCTTCTTATGGACCTCACCCTCTAGTCAAGTCAAACTTGTTGGTTTGGTCCACGCGCGAATAATGTGTACATTAATTTCTCCCCTTGGAAATGCTGAAGAAGGTTCGTGCTCTTTTTTAGAGAGAGAGATAGAGAGAGGGGTAACAGGGACACGGTCACATAGCCTTCACTTTAGTTAAGTTTACCGACGTCGTTTCATTGCCAAAGATTAGTGGATGAGCCATACAGAGGGCCTCCAAAAAGCCCACATCATTTACTTGTTCAAAATGCTCCTAACGCGCAATTGACTACCTTGAAACACATGTTTGAAGAACTAGATAACTCCATGCACGTCTTAAGATATTTAGAGACAATTCTTTTAGTTCACACCTAAGATATTGAATCCATTCAAGAGTCTTCAAATTATGTAGGGAACTCCATGGAAGAAACATCTTCCTCTTTGAACAAAAAACTCACACGTTACTGAATCCTTGTCAGGATCTTTCGACCTTGCTCTTAATTCTTTTTAGCCTATTATATAAACAAACCTAATTTTCTCCAACAGTCTGTCTGATCCCATTTTCATTAGCCAAAATAATGTCACCCGCCTGTTTATTGCCTGATGGACCTCACCCTCTAGGTGCATGCACTTTCCTCGTTGGAGGAAATTTCCAACAGTTATGTCTTTGATTGTTGTTTTGGAAGTTATATAAATCGCTCACATGTAGAATTGACAAAAGTTAAAATGTGCGGTGACCATATATTATGAGACATTCTTGAGTTTGTGTGTGCCCAATGCATGCCGACCCTTAGATCGTGTGGTTTCTTCTGGCACCACCAATATCGTGGGCTCAAATGCAATGAGCTCACGTGCACCCGAATCGTCTAGGAGTTTTTCCATATTTGGTCTAATCATTGCCTTTGATCGGTGGTTCAATGTAAGTATCTATTTGAAAGCACATGCATATAATTTATTCCTGCCTTCATCGAGCGCTGATTACTAAGGCTCCGTTTGTTTCATGGAAATTATATGATTTGAAAAACATTTTCCTAAATATAATTGCTTATATCTATTATAAAAATAAATGAACAAAATTTTTTTATCATCCACGAAAATGTTTAGATATTATATGTTGTCGATAATGAAAATATTTTTTATCGGTTAATTATTTCAAGTGATACAAAATATTACTTTTAGGAAAAGGTTTTTCAAATTATTCATTTTTCGCAAAATAAATGGAGCCTAATAGTCATGTAATCTTGTACGAAATATCCGTAATCAATCAAAAAGGAAAAAAAAACTAGTAAACATGACAGTTAAATTTGTAGATCTTTATATAAGAAATTTTCGTTTAGAAATTAGAAACGTGAAGAGACGAAAAGGAAAACTACCTCTCTCTCTAGGCGTGTTCGCTAAGTCATGGTCTCTCGATGACTGTTAGCTCTACCCTAACAAGTAAGAATGGTAGCAATCCATGGCCCTTTGTCGGACCCCATTGCTAATGATTTTCAGTATTTACAAAAAATTTCATATCATTAATAAGTCTTGGCCCCGCCAAAAATTTTCTAGTTTCTTTACATTCCAAAGTTTATGGAATTTTTGTTAGAAACTTTTAGCATAATAGTCTTCCAAATTTAGGGGCTCTGTTTTGCAACAAGGGTTGCTACCGCGAAAAATCCCAAATTAGAACATCTGTAACAAATTTACTCCAAACTATTTTTTTGACCACGAAAAACCCCAAACTGGTACAAATATGACAAATTTATCCCAAATCCCAAATTGGTACATCTATAACAAATTTACCATCCGTTAGCTTCCGTCAAATTTTACCGTTAAATTTGCTGACGTGAATGACACATGGTGACGTGGTAAGATGACATGGCAAGTCCACATGAAAATTCATAGCGTAAATACCAAGAAAAATCACAAACTTGTATACCTGTGACAAATTGACTGTAATAGTTTGGGGTTTTTTGTCATATTAACCCTATGGATTTTCACGTAGACTTGCCACGTCACCATACCACGTCACCATGTTCATTCACGTCAGTAAATTTAAGGATAAAACTTAATGAAAGCTAACGGAGGGTAAATTTGTTACAGGTGTATCAGTTTAAGGCTTTTTATGGTCAAAAGATTAGTTTGGTTTTGGCGGTCAAAAAAATAATTTGAGGTAAATTTTTCACGGGCGTACTAGTTTAGGGTTTAAAAACCAGTACAGTCCCTGCCTTGATCAGACTGTGATAGAGGTGATCAGTGAATGCCTTGCGGGTATCGGTGCCTCTAAAGCTTAAGAACACGTCATATTGACGGCTACCTACATTTGTGGGTACCGGAGAGATGAACGAAGGAATGGATGCTCCCTCAGTGCTCTCTTCCTCTGCTCTCTTTTTATTTGCTTGACTCTGCCCATTACCCATGGCGATCTGAGGGGGAAAGTTGAAACGAAAAGATGCTTTTCTGCTGCTCAAAAGGATTGATGAACAACCAAAGAAACTTTTAGGATGCTTTTCTGCAAATTCTAGTAGTCCTTGCCCTATCTTCTTTTGGACCTCATCCTCTAGTCAAGTCAAACTTGTTGGCTTGGTCCACTCGAGAATAACGTGTACGTTAAGTTCTTCCCTTGGAAATGCTGAAGAAGGTTCGTGCTCCTCGAGAGGTTTGACTGCGGAAGATTAGGTGATGGCCCCTAAAGAGAGGTCCCCAAAAAGGTCAACTACCTCTTTCTCTCTAGGCGTGTTCGCTAATTCGTCTTCTCTGGATTACTGTTAGCTCTACCCTAAGAAGTAAGAATGGTAGCAATCCATGTCTCTTCCGTGGCACCCATTGCTGATGCTTTTCTGTATTTACAAAAAATTTCATATTCACTAACAAATGTTGGCCCCACCAAAATTTTCTAGTTTCTTTACATTCCAAAGTTAAAAGAATTACTGTTAGAAACGTTTGGCAGAATAGTCTTCCAAATTTAAGAGCTCTATTTTTCTACACTGATGCTTCCAGTTGTGTATGATAATGATGAGCAATTATTTCCAAACTTGAGAAGTAATGCTTTGGTATAGATGGTTGAGAAACAATTCTTTGGTATAGATGGAATGATTGAACTTTACTACATAGGTCCATCTCAATTTTGGTAATATGAGCTATCCATTGAAAAAATACACAATGTTGATATTTTACGAGAGATTCTTTAGGAAAGAATTTGAATGAGTTAGTAATCTAAAAAGCCGACATCTAGCGATGTAGGGGAGAACAATTCAAGGTCATGAGTCTATTTAAAAGTTAAATATCATTTGCTATTTATTTTGTGAAATACATCATCTTACTAAAATGAGAGAAAAAAAAAACAAAATTTTCTAACATGATATATGTTAGTGATTAAAAAGAATCAACTTTGATTTTCTTTACAGCATGTACCCATCAGGATCATTGTTTTGCTAGTTTATACAAGAAAATGGGTAGTCTTTCGGCCCATCACACTATCACGAAGATGGATAATGTCATTCCTGATTGCAAGATTCAAGAGGGCAAACTCACGCTTATTGGTATCAAGGCTGTTGTTTTAGATAAGTTTGAACCTTTTCATGGAATACTTGCAAATAGACTTTGGCAGATGCAAAAATAGTTTATGAAGGACGGATGCTTCTATCAAACGGATAAAGTAATAAGATTAAAAAATAGACAAATACGCGAATAGGTTCAGTTTATATTAAACTTACATTCACTCTTATGTACTAACTACCACCAACAAAGCTTTAAACAGAGAGAATCAAGTGCAAGTAGAAACATATCGTGAACACAAGAGAGATCAAGATAATCTAAAGAGTTGAAGCTTTTTCAATTTCCGCCAGGTCCATCAGCATTAGGTGAATCCTTTTAGTTATCTCACACATGATAGGTCCACTTTGTAAAAAATAGGCAAGATTAAATGTCTTGTGCTTTTTTAGCGATCCACGAGTTGAATGAGCTTGAGAATGCATCATTTGCTAGAGGCATAATTTTCAAATATCATAGACATCCAAACTTTAGACCATGTGATCGCATCAAGGAGCCATGAACCAACCCCTTGCCAATAGGGAGGCTGTTATCATTCCTGAACACAAGCATAGGTACGGTTCCGACATTCATGAAATTGTGGTAGAGGTGATCGGTGAAGCCCTTGCGAGTACCTGAGACTCTAAAGCTAAAAAATTACATCATAGGGATCACTTTCCCGCTCATGTTGGTGTTGGAGAGAGATGAACGGATATGTAGATGCTCCGTCAGTGCTCTCATTTTCTGCATTTGTATTGCTTCCGCTCGTTTTCCTCTTCTTGAGAAGATTAGAAACAAACACAGAAAGAAGTGGCGCAACAAGCACCACAAGAGAACACCCTAAAATGAACTGATGCATTCCTCTGTTTGCTTTGCTCTGGCTCTTCCCTTTATTTGAAATGCTCAGGGTCAACTCGACTCAATCCCCACATTGCTAGAATCAAGCTAAACCTCAAGAGGAACATATTTCTCAAGAAAGATACCCCAAAACACAAGTGGCCCCCCATAACAAAATACTCCATATTCTCGCAACTCAGAACCATCTACAGATTGGCAAGAATCAGTCGAACAATCGACAACAACAAGATAGAGAAGGGAAAATGGGATTGGATCCCGTCTAAGCAATGGTGATTCTTATTGGGTATTCTCAAATTTCCTACTAATTTTCCACGCGGTAATTTATCTCATGTGTATCAATTTCACGACTTCTCTTCACAAAAAGTAATTTTTCTTTTGTCATCGTAAGTTCTATAGGTCATATGATTTGCAATATTCCCCAAAATATAGAAATCTGCCAAAGTTTTGGGTAAAATATCTTTTCCTATGGTTAGGAAACTACTGGATATTTTCCTTTGGCGAATAAATTGTCCTTGTTAATAGTAATTTTACCCGTAAAACATCCGTTCACAGGTTATCTTTGGACGGTGCACTTTTTCTTTGGAGGTCATAAAATCCCTGAAACCTATGTTTGGTAAAATTCCACAAAAGTAATATCTATTCTGTTACTAGTAAATTTCTTTTGTGAATTTTTAGTAAAATATCTAAATCGATCGTAACTCTCCTTTGCACGTGGTAAAGTTTCAAGACCTATGTCTCGGTTATTTTCCTTACTCATCGTAACTTTTCTTAATTAAAGTAATTTGATCACGTTTGCGTCTGTAACTTTCCTTTTAATACAAAAACAGATATGATGGATTACATTTTTTTCCCATTTCATCCAACAGCCCACCACGTTGAATGTAGGACTGATCCCATAAGATAAAGCTTTGACTTATGAAATTTCTATCACCATCGAGAGGTTTTAGCCATAACAAAGTAGTTTTTTTATTTTTTTGCCAAAGAGTAAAGCAGTGTTGGAAACACTATTTTTCCTAAATTTTTTGAAAATCATTCCATTGCAATATTTATATTAATATATATGTAAAGGTAAAAATAACGTAAACGTGAAATGAAACCAGAGAAGAATAACGCAAAAGAAAAGGCTACCGCCAAACAGACCCAACCCAAGGGTGTCAAATGAAACCAGAAAAACTTATGAGGGGGGCAAAAATAGAACTTCCAACGAACTTCAGGGCGCGAAAACAGAATTGTCGAAGGGCAAAACAAACATCATCTAATCCCGCCATCGCCGGGAAGTTTTTAGAACAAAGATCACTTCGAGCGCGCGCTCTCCAGAGGGAGACTAGCGATCGATTCCATTCCATTCCAGCTCGTGCACCATCGATCGATCGATACATCGAATCGCGTCGAGCACAGGTTGAGAAATTCGATTCCATGGAGGATCGGGGGGTTGGAGGAGGTAGAGAAAGCTCGGTTGCTGAGCTTGGCTCTCGATTTCGGCTTCGACCAGCAGTCCGCTACCAAGTGCTTGGACCGCCTCGTTTCCCTCTACGGTAACTCGAATCGTCTCTTCGTTGCCCATTTTTTTTATGCCGAGATTAGCGTTTGCAGAGGTTGTGTAGGTATTTCCATCGTCCACCACGATGACGATGGCTGTAGAATAGGGTGCCTAGTGGAGTGGTATTGCTGACGAGCAAAAT